TGCAGGTGACCGCCCTCATCACCCGCCTGAGCCTGCAGGTGACCGCCCTCATCACCCGCCTGAGCCTGCCCGAGCAGATTCCAGGGAGCGCGTCGGTAGTGGGCTGTCCAGCCCCAGCCCGAGGCCTGTACCAGCAGAGATATGTGCATTAGCCTCTCCACGCTGTCTGCACGAGGGCGGGCGTGCCCAGAACTCCCGGGGAGCACTGCAGGGACAGGCGTCCCCTCGCCGAGTTCTGTTGCCCTCTTCTGCCGCCCCACCTGCCCGCTCCCGGTTGGCTGCCTCCTCCTGCGCGAGCCCGTCAGGCCACACGGGAGCGGCACCGGCTGGGGCTGCGCACTCGCATCCCCAAGACAGAGTGCGCCCCGCTCCCAAGCCAGGGGTCTCCCCGTCCCATCCCCTCAGCCCCCATCCCTTCTGCTCCTGTGCGCGGCTTGGGGGGGCCGTGGTGGCAGACCCCCGCTCTAGGGCCCGCACCGAGCTGGCGGTGGGGACTCCTTCCTGGGAGGGGTGGGCTTCAGAGTCAGCAGAGCAGCCGGACTCAGTGACAGGCTGGATATGCAGGCGCACACTGAGAGACGGCCCCACGCTGCAAGCCCGCAATGTGTACACGAATGCGGGTCACTGGTTCACCCTGAGGACATCTCGGGTCAGGCCTGGGGATGGCGAGGTCGGGGGTGCATGGCAGAGAGGACGTGAGCCTGTGGCCTTGGGCTCCGCCTGCCCAGCCTCAAGCCCCCGGTCAGCCTCAAGCGGCTCCAGGCTGCGGGTGGTGACCAAACTCATGTGCTGCTGGGAGGGCTGTAGCGCACGGGCAACCTGCCCAGCGCACGGCCGCTCAGTCACTGTCGAGGGGCAGGTGTTGTCCGTGTGAGAACCATCTACTGATAAACAGAGGGGGCGGGTGCCAGCCAGGGAGTCAGGAGCTGTCTGTACAGGTGTCTTCAAGTTTGGCTGCAGAGCTGTTTGATACAGGGGTGAAGGAGGCTGCTGTAAATTCTTGGACACCGAAGGGACATGGGACACTGGGTATCCGAGAAGCACTCATCCAGCTGCTGCCTGCGGGAGTGACGACAGCAGGCGGGCCCGACACGGGCCTGCTGGGAAGTCCGCAGGTGCCCGAGGAGAAGGGATGGAGAGCCGCAGGGGACAGCCGTCGTCACCCATGCGGACGCCGACCCCGGGGTCTGGACTTAACCTGTAGCCTGTCTCCTGCCTACGTTCCCGGCCCTGCCGTGCACGTGGGTCCTCACAGTGTCCCCTCCTTGCAAACCCAAGGCTTAACCTGGGGTCACTGGCTGCTCAGCAGCCCACATGTGAGTGGCCCCAAGAGAAACAAATTGGAGCTCAGAGTGGGTATCGGCAACAGGTGGTTGTCTTGTCGTCACCTTGATGTTCGATTTACTGTTTTATTTTTCTTCAAGTTCCCTTTATGTTCTTGTGGGTTTCTTTGTCATTCCCACATACAACCCTATTGGTGCTAACTGTGTGTGCGGGATAGAAGCAGGTCTTGGGGACCTGCTTGTGAGACTTGAGTGCTGTCCCCTTTGGGGGGGCACAAAGACACCCACTGTCCTGCGTCATGGGGCCAGAGGCATGAGGCTCGCCGGGCGGGAGGCGATGAGCCGCCACCTGGGCTGGGGATTGAGGGCTGTGGGAGCAGAGAAAAGCTGTTTCCAAACCTATTCACAATTTTACAGTGGTTTACACCTGTCACAAATCCACGTGTTCATGTCATGCTATTTTTTTCAACAGAGAATTTTTCAGAGAATGATTTTTTTCTTTAAGTGCTAGGGAGGAAAAGTTATCTTTTTTTTTTTTTTAAGGATAGTTATTATAGTTATTAATTTCTCATTATGGTGTGGACTATTTTTTTCATTTTTTAATATTACAAAACAAATGATAGATGCAGGCGACCGTGTGACACTTGGTGGCAAATTAAACACACACGGTCGTCAGGCCCTTCCACATGGCAGACAACCAGGGGTCTCCAGAAACCTGAGGAAGACACAGACTGAATCAGTTAAAGAAACAGGACTCTGGACCCCAGGCAGCCCATCTGCAGGAAAGAGCACATGGGGTAACCCTGTCCTCAGTCAACACTGTGAGAAAGACAACACTCTGGCCCCAGAAGATGCGAGGCGATGCTGGACAAGGGGGTCTTTCTGGAAGGACTGGGGGTCAATGGAGGGGTCTCCCAAAAGGCAGAGATGAAAATACGAGAAAATCACTGAACCCATCTACCAATTCAAATAATAACAGTTTCAGAAACAGAACTGGAAAAGAGGAGGAGGAGAGGAGTAATCATTAAAGAAATCATTAAAAAATTTTTTTTCCAAAACTGAAGGACCTAAGTTTCTAGATCAAGGGCCCTCTGTCCCCAGGCAGTGGGTGAAAAGACTCACACTGAGGCACATTATTGTGAAATTTCAGAACACCAGCGGGGAGGAGAGGTGTTATGGGACTTCCAGAGCCAGCAAGGGAGGGGGAGGGAGGGAGGGAGGAGGGGGAGGGACTGAGGGAGGGAAGGGGAGGGAGGGAGGGTAGAATGGGGAGGAAGGGAAAGAGGGAGGAGGGAGGGAGGGGGAGAAGGAGGGAGAGAGGGAGAGATGGGGAGGGAGGGGGAGGGAGGGAGGGGTCAGATATAATGAAGCAGAAATTGGGGTAACTTTGGACTGGTTGACAGCAACATTCGAAGCTAGCAGGCTATGGAATAATGGCTTCAAAATTCTGAAGGGAAATTATTTCCAAACCAGCCAAGGTCTCAGTTCAGTCTGAAGGTTGAGTGAAGACATTTTCAGATCTGCAAGACTCAGGGATTTGCCTCCTCTGCACTTTTCCCACGAAACCACAGAAGCTGTGTCACCAGAACGAAGGAGTGAACCAAGAAGGAGGAAGCCTGGGCTGGAGGGAGTGAGGCCCTGCAGGACAGTGTCCCAGGGGGACAGGGCCTGGTGGTCCTTGGATGCCGGCCAAGTGCCAGACTGGAGCAGGTCAGAGGCCCTGGGAGACATTTCTCCAAGAAGACAAAATTGACAGAAAAGCAAATGTGCCTGAAGGCCCCGAGAAAAGGTTGGACTGCTGCCAGAACGTGGAGCTGAATTAGTGATAAATACATGGAAAGAACTGAGCACATGAGCAGCACAGTGATTCACCAGAAGAAACAGGTTCTGCAGGAGAGGCATCCCGGTCCATTCCTGAAGGCACAACCATGAACAGTCAAGCGCGTGCTGGTGGGACTCGATGGCCAACCAGGATTAGGAGAGGCCAGTGACAGTGATGGGAGGCCTGGGGGGGGGGTGGCGAGCAGGGGGCCACAACCTCACCTCCCACGTGGGAAGCAAGCGGATGGCACCAACATGGAAGTTTTGAATACCAGCAGCACACTCATGTCACTTAGAAACGCGGAGGTCACCACGAGCAGTAATGGGCACAAGGCCCGCAGAGAGCTCCCTCTGGAGCAGGGCAAGCAAGAGGAACCGGCACAGAACCACGGACTCTAAAGTGTAACCTTGTGGAACTTCCATGATATCCAACATAAAACCAAGCCGAAGAGAAAAAACCAGAAATGCATGTCATGTCATGTTTCCTCTTCCGTGAAGTATCATTCCTGACTTTTGTCCATTTTTCCATTTCTTTGTTTTTATCCGTTTTTCTTATTGGTTCTAAGAGTTCTTTTTATATTCTAGATAAGAAGAACTTTGTCAGTTTTTGTGTTGAAAATTATTTTTCCAGTTTGTGCCTGTCTTTTTATTTTCTTTATAGTATTTTTGAATAGAAATTTTAAATTTTACTGTAGCTGAATTTATCATCCTGTTCACTTATAACTAGCGACATATAATTTTTAAAGAAATACTTGCCTACCTGCAGTTATAAGGCTTTTCAATGTTTCTAAATGTTGCCTTTCACACTTAAGTCTTTAATTCACCTGGAATTGATTTCACATATGGTGTGAGGTAGGGATATGCCTTCCTTTCTCTCGAGTGGATAACCAGTCATCCTCGGCCCACACAACAAGCAGTGTCCGCCCACTCCCACCTCTGTCCTATCGATTTTCCACAGAAGTGATACAATTTCTGGGCTCTCTATTCTGTTTCATCAGCCTGCGTGTCAACCCCTGCATTCCTTTTTATTCCTCTTTGTAGCCTTTTCTATGTATCTTCTCAGAGCCTAAAGCAGAACAGGTGCTCAGTAAATATCTGTGGAATGAATATGGCCTGCTTGTTACTTTTCCTGTCCTCGTGGAAAAGTGATGCTTGCTTCAGGAATTCGGCGAAGCATGTCAAGGTGACTCCAGCTGCTCTCTTCAGCAGGTAAGGTTGTGTTGGCTGCCAAATTCCTTGGGCTTGGAGTCAGTTCTCACCATCAAAGAGAACTCAGCTCCTTGCCAGGAGCTGTGACCCGACTCTTTTCACGTGGATCTTAGGGATTTGATGGCCATTCATCCTGGGTCTGGTCTGTTTGCTGGAGATTTTTAGGGATCAAGCTAAGTGTATTGCCTTGTCCTCACCTTCCAGTCATCGCCCAGCTTCACACAGTCAGATCCCAGCCCCCCGAGCTGTGGATGCTGTGCTTAAGTTCTCCAGCAAAAATCCCAACAACAGGGATCCCTTGATCCCTTGACTTGACCTCCTGGTGGGCTTTGATACCGCTGGTGTCTCCCTTCTCAGAAGCCTGCTCCTTTGCATCTTCGGCGGCTGGCTTCCTCCTGCTCTGACCACCCTTCTTGGCTCCTTCATCTGGCCTCCTCTTCAGCATTCTCTGCTGCCTGCTCGCCGTGGGCATTCCCCTTTCTTGCTGCCGTCACGCCTGCCACTGTCCTCACTGACCCTTCTGAGGGACGCTTCGAGACCCAGCTCACATCTCGCCGGCCCCTCCCAGCCACAGTGAGCTCTTTGCCTCTGACCCCACACCGCCCAGCGTTTGCGCCGTCCCCACCCGGCCTGCACTGCGTGGGACACTCCAAGCTGTTAGGTGTCATGGCCAGAATGCAGGGGCTGGAGGGCCAAACTGCCTAGGTTCAAATCTGGGTTTGCCCCTTAGTATCTGCATGACCTTGTCCTCAGTTTTGCTGTCTGTAAAAGGGGATTCGTGTACAAGAAGCAGAGTTACTGTGGGGGCTGGATGAGCTGATTTTTCCAAAAGGAACAGTACCTGGCGCGCAGTGTTGGCTATGGTGCTATTACCATCTCGTGCAAGCCCAGCCTTGTCACCACAGAAAGAACGCAGGATCTGGAGCCCAAGCCTGCCTTGCAGGTCCTAATGGCTTTGTGACCTAGAACAAAGCACTTCACTGTCTCAGTGTCTGTTTCCTCTTTAGGGAAGCGGAGTGTAATGTCTGCCTGACCAGCTCCCAAGGCTGTGGGGAGGAGTCGGGGTGGAAGGGCTCTGTCAAGCTCAGACGGAGGATGCACATCCAGCGGTGAGACTGACTCTTGATGAGCACCACCCCCTCCCCGCCCCCTCCCACATGCACCTCCCCCGGGACCCCTCCCACCCGGGCTCATCCCAACAGAACCCATCCCACTCTGGACCCCTCCCACCCAGGCCCCGCCCCCCCAGGCCCCTCCCGCCGGGACTTCTCCCACAGGGACCCTCACACCAGAGCCTCCTCCCCCTGGGGCCCCTCCTACCCTGGACTCCTCCCATCGGAACCCCTCCCACCAAGACTCCTCCCGCCGGGGGGGCGCCTACCACCAAGGCCCCGCCCACCCGGGACTCAGGCCGGGGGGACAGGGGCGGCCCGGGTTCTCCTACTCGCCGCGGCCCCACTGTCCTGGATCGGCCACTGCCCCGCCCCGCTGTGGTGACTTGCCGTTTGGACCCCTTATCTCTCACGGTCCCGTCGGCGGCATTCGCAGAATACGTCCAGGGTCGGACCGGTCCCCACCGCCTCTGCGGCTGCCCCTGGTGCAGACCTGTCCTCACCAGGACTGTGACAGCCGACCCCCCAACTGATCTGCTTCCGCCCGTGCGACCCCCACCCGTCCCCCCAAGCCGGGTGGTCCCTTCAGAAAGCAAGACAGACCATGCCACCTCTCTGCTCAGAAATTCCTGAGTCTCTCAGAACAGAAGCCGGGGTGTTGATGGGGGCCCACGAAGGCCTACAGCCCCCCGGGGCCTGACCTGACCGCCAGCCCGCCAGCCGGCTCTTCACCGCTCCGCTCCCGCCACCTGGTGCCCGCTCGAGTCCGGCTCCTGGTTGCTCCTCTCCCTCAGAAGGCGCCCACCTCAGATGATTTCAGGTCTTTGCTCAACGGTCAGGCTCTCAGTAAGGGGTTCCCTGTCCACCGGTTACAACTGCAACCCGCCCCCCCCCCCACGCAGACCCCCGCCTGACATAATATAGACTGGCCTCGTTTTGTGTTTACTGTAACCCCCATTAGAACATAAGCCTCAGGAAGGACAGGACGTTTGGTACTTTGTTTGCTGCTGTATTTCTAGCGCTCAATAAATACTGGTTGAATGAATGAATGAATGAACGATTCCATTTTGTCTTCATCACAAGCCAGCAGGACAAGGTTGAGGTCAGGGGCTCTTACCCCGATTTTATCACGAAACAATGAGAAGCTCAGGAGAGTAACTGGCCACACCAGCTTCTCAGAGAAGTGAGCGAAAGGCTGATCCTGAAGTGAGCAGGGGCGGGGTGGG